CTTCTTGATTTCTCTGCCATGTGTGACACCATTGACTACCATCTTTTCCTAGACATTCTTGCCTCTTTTGGTTTTCATGGAAATTATCTCTCCTGGTTCTCCTCCTACCTGATTGATCGTTCTTAGTTCCTTTTGCTAGATCATCAGATCTATATACTATATACATATTTTATATATATCATATATATATCTTAACCCCTATTTGTGGGTGTACACCAAGGGTCTGTCCTGGGTCTTCTTTTTCTAATCTCCCTTTTCTTCCCTCCTTTCCTCCTCCTCCTCCTCCCCCTCCTCTTCCTTTTTCTTCTTCTTCTTTTTCTTCTTCTCTCTTTCTCTCTGTCTCTGTCTCTCCTCACCCTCCACGATCTCTAAACGTTCTACAAGTACCTTAGCTCAATATGTCTACAATAGAACTCATCTTCTTTCCCCCAAACTCCCCTCATTTCTGAACTTCCCTTTTCTTGTCCAGGCCACCACCCTTCTTCCCATCACCCAGGTTCACAACCTCAGAGTCATGCCTGACTCCTCACTTTCACTCTTCCCACTTATCTAATCAGGTACCCAATCTTGCTGTTTATCTCCACTGAACTACTCAGTAAACTCCTGTGGGTCCTTATTTCCTCTAGGGTGAACTACAAACTCATCTATTTAGCTCAGCTAACCCTGACTTAGCTTCCCAGCATCCCTGGATATTACACCTTCTCCCATACTCTTTGATCCAGCCCAACTGGCTTCTCTGGCGAGCCATCATAATCCATTTCCCACTTTGGTGCATTTGTCTGTGTGCTATCTACCCCATGCCTTGAGTACTCTTCCTCTTTACCTCAACTTCTTAGAATCCTGTTCTTGTCACTTCCATGAAATCTTTCTTAACCCCTTCAGATGCTAGAGTCTTTCTTCCCTCCTCCTCCAAATTACCTGTGTTTATTTGGTATATATCTATGCCAGGATATACTTATATCAGTTTCTAGCTTATCTTTGGATCACCAGAGCCTAGCAAAATATATGCACATAGTAGCTGTTCAGTCATTTTAGTCGTGTCTGACTCTTAATGACCACAGTTGGGGTTTTCCTGGCAAAGATACTGGAGTGGTTTGTCATTTCCTTCTCCAACTCATTTGACAGATAAGGAAACTGAGGCAAGCAGGGTTAAGTGACTTGTCCAGGGTCACACAGCTAGTAAGTGTATGAGGTCACATTTGAACTCAGGAAGATGAGTCTTCCTGACTCCAGGCTGGGTGGTCTATGCACTGTGGCGCCACCCAGCAGCCCATGGTAGATCTTACTAAATACTGGGTGTTCCAAAAAATCTTGGTGCCATTTTCAAAATAACTGCTAAAACGTACATCTGCATTAAGATTTTTAGAACATCCTGTCTTCATTGACCAGTTGATTCTTCCTTGGGCACCCATGAAACCGTCCCATGCTTTCTCTTCCCCTTCTCTCAACACTCTGGAGAGGTTTGGATAAACTCATTCACCAGGAAACTTTCAATTAACATTTACTGAGGACCTACTGTATGCAGAGCACTGTGCAGCAATTTTTCAATGAAACAGGGTCTGGCTTTTAAGGAGTTTAAAGTCTAATAGGACATAAACATAGATAACTATAATACACAACAATATATGCTAAACTATAATATATATTATATATATATATGTAATATGTTGTTGTTCATTTCAGTCATGTCCCCATTTAGAGTTTTCTTGGCAAAGATACTGGAGTAGTTTGCCATTTCTTTCTCTAGCTCATTTTTACAGACGAGGAAACTAAAGCAAGCGTTAAGTGACTTGCCCAGGGTCACACAACTAATACGTATCGGAGGCCAGATTTGAACTCAGGTCTTCCTGACTCTAGACCAGGCACTCTATCCACTGTACCACCTAGCTGTCCATATACATCTTATATATAATATATTTTATATATGTAATATATAATATTATAACATACAATTATGATATATAATAATATGTGGTATGCTAATATTAGAAGATGAAAAAATATTATGTGAAGTTCAGGTTAAGAGTGACAATCAGGGTAGACATCACTGAGGAGGTAGCATCTGAATTGTTAATTTAAAGGATGGGTAGGAATTTAGGAGTGGAAAGCAAGGCAAAGGATATTCTAGGCAAAAAACAGTGAGCAATGACCTGAAGAGGGGATAGTACAAGGTGTGTTCGAGGGAATAAACCAGTTTGTTGGGAGTAAAGAGGGTAGAACATGGAGGGAAGAAATAGAAGATGACGTTGGAAAGAAAGGATGGTGTCAGATTGTGGAATACCTTGAATGTTGAGCAGAAAAGTTTGAACTTTGCAGGCAATGGGAAATATCTGAAGATTTTTGAGCTGAGGAGTGAATGACAGCAGAGCTCTAACTAGGATGAGGTAATGGAGACATCAACATCCACTGGGTACTATCTCCCCATGCAACCGCCATCTCTGTGCTTTGCCTCCTGCCCTTCTACTGGCCCATATCATTACCTAGTACTACCACCCAGAGATACCCTCATAGTGCTATCTTCCCTGGGTTTGCCTTCTCACCAAACCACTGAAGGGTCTGGACCCGACTCTCTGGGCTACAGGCCCTTCTCTCTTCTGCCTAGTTTAGTAGCCTACTTACTGTTTACCAAATAAATTAGAGTTCCATTTAGTGACCATTGGAAAAGAGGAATCAGTCAGATCCTCCCATGCACATTACATTTTCCATTTAAAAGCAAGTGCCCTCTAAAAGAGTGATTTTGTGATAAACTAAACACCACACCCAGGGAGGAAAGACACAGGCCACATCCTGAGAAATGACACAACTGAATTAGTTGCATTGAAAGATATATGTTAAAACAAGTGCTCCATAAAAGAGATTCACAGTTTCATACACAGCCCCCCCCAACTTCTTTTCTACAATGCATATGGAAACACTAATTTTACTTAGTGTTTGTTAAATTCAGATGAAGGAACAAAAAGAAAGAAAGAAAGAAAGAAAGAAAGAAAGAAAGAAAGAAAGAAAGAAAGAAAGAAAGAAAGAAAGAAAGAAAGAAAGAAAGAAAGAAAGAAAGAAAGAAAGAAAGAAATTCTTTGTAGGCAACCAACAAAGGTATCTGGAGGCACTGGACGTGAGCAAAGTGTTAGAAATGGGACCGAAGTGCTTTGAACTCATTCAGATCTCCAGGTGGGTCTCTCTACTATAGTCTCCAATAAGCTGGTGTATGTGCAGGGGATGAGGGGGGAAGGTGACAACTCCCCCAAAGGCTAGTGCAGGGCTATGGCACCAAAGATGAGCAGTAGCTCTCTAGCTAAGGTTCCAGGATCAAAGCTCTTTGGATGCTGCTCTTGGGCTCCCTCTTTATACGGAAAAGGCCTGTCTCAGACACACGTCGGTAATGATCCCATTTTCCAATTCCCAGGCGTTGTAGGGCAGTGATTGAATGGTGATCTAGACTCTGAAGGCGCTCTCTTAGAAGGCAGAAAGCTGTTATGTAAAGTCCCAGGAATTAATGTGCCTCAATTAGGCTAAAGTGTGCATGATCATAATTTGAGAAATAGGGAGAAATCTTTCCAGGAGTTCAGGATTGCAAGGCAAAATAATGATGGGCACCAGATTGCAAAGGTAAGCAGGTTAAACCACCAATAGGAACCCAATTCCTACTAGGGTTCTTTTATGCTAAATAAGTTAGCCACCTCTAAGCAGAATGGCCTGGTGGTGCGTTCTTTTGAAAAAGGCTTTAAGAAATTAATAGTATGGGGGTAATGGACAGAGCACCAGCCTTGAAGTCAGGACGACCTGAGTTCAAATCCAGCCTCAGACACTTGATTTTAGCTGTGTGACCCTGGGCAAGTCACTTAACCCCGATATCCTCACCCAAATAAAAAAAAAAAAAGAAAAGAAATTAATGGTATCATAGATTGAGGACCTAGAGGGCCACCTGTGACCTCAAGGCAGCAAGTTCCCCACCCCTGTTCTAACCAACTAGCAGTCTCCTAATTTACAACTTTCCCTTGATAAAGAGCTAGCATTTACATAGTGCTTTAAGGTTTGCAAAGAGCTTTTACATATACTATCTTTTTTCATCCTCAAACTTCATTTCAACCCCATGAGGTTGATGATGTTATTTGTCCAATTTTATAGATAAAGAAACTGAGGTTCAGAGAATAAAAATAATAACAGTTAATATTTACATAACACTTACTATGTGCCAGGCAATGTGTTAAGTGTTTTACAAATAGTATCTGATTTTACTTTCACAACAACCTTAAGAAGTAGGTGCTATTATCACCCCATTTTACAGATGAAGAAACTGATGCGGACAAAAATTAAGTGACGTGCCAAGAATCAGACAGTTAATGAGTATGTGAGGTCACATTCGAACTCAGGTCTTCCCGACTCTAGATCTGGTGCTAAAGCCACTTGCTCAAGGTCATACAGAAAATAAGTTTCTGGGTTAGGATTCAGACTCAGGTCTTCCTGATTCCACCTAATCACTATACCTCCAGGAAGCAATTTCAATTCATTTACTAAAAGAAAGAATAGCATTTGCAGTTAATGAATGCTTTTTCATTAATTTTTCATTCATGTTTTTAAAACACTAATAACCAACATATCTACTATATGTATTTTAGTCAGAACCATATAAACCAGACATAGAATATAGTTTTTATTTTTTTAATAATATTTTATTTTTTCCTGATTACATGTAAAAACAATTTTTAATATTTTTAAACTTTGATTCTAAATTCTCTCTCTCTCTCTCTCCCTTCCTCCCTATCTGAAATGGCAAGCAATTTGATATAGGTTATACATGGGCAATCATGCAAAATATATTTCCGTATTAGTCATAGACTAATATATTGTATGTGGTAGTCAGAGTTCCGTTGGCACCAGTGAATTGGCATGACCATTGGTCCATAATTAGTGCTTAATCCCTGCTGGCTGATTCCTTGATTAATTCTGACCCAAATTGGGGTGGGCAGTTGGACTGCCCCTAAGTCTACATTTCTCTATTCCAGCAGGTCCCCCTGGAGTATCTGGAGACATGGAAGAGAAGGGAATGGAAGATTCCCTGGTGTGGTGTGTCTGCTACCAACTGCTCAACACCTCAGAGCACCAACCGTGCAGGCTAGAGGGGACTAACTGTCCTGGGAGCCTTGACATCTGGGAAAAGACCACAGCTGGCAGGGTGAAGAATTGCACACACAGTGCTAAGGCTCAGGACTTCCAAACCATCAATGCTTCACTGAAGAATGACATCCCAGCCTGTGGGGGTAAGACAGGCTGAGCACAGGACCAGCCTTGACCAGCCTTGGTAGTTTAGTAGTGCAGACAAAGAAACAGACATGGAGTCAGAGAACCTAGGTTTGGGTCCTGAACCTATTAAGACTAACTACTATTGGGGCAGCTAGGTGGCGCAGTGAATAGAGCTCTGGTCTTGGAGTCAGGAGGACCTGAGTTCAAATCCAGCCTCAAAAACTTAAAACTTACTAGATGTGTGACCCTGGACAAGTCACTTAACCCCAACTGCCTCCATAAAAAAGCAAAAAAACAAAAACAAAAAAAACTAACTACTATTCCTATTATGACCTCAGGAAAGTTATATCCTCTGCCTCAATTTCCCCATCCATAAATCAAGGGAGTTGGATTAGACTATCTCAAAGTTCTCTTTAACCTTTAAATCTCATAATAAATGTCTCCCTGGCTCATCATTCAGTCTTCTCTCGGTGATCTTATAAACAGCAACTTTCTTTCTTTCTTTCTTTCTTTCTTTCTTTCTTTCTTTCTTTCTTTCTTCTTCTTCTTCTTCTTCTTCTTCTTCTTCTTCTTCTTCTTCTT